CATAAATCACTCGGGAGCGCTCGCTTTTCTGCCCCTGGTCTGGCGGTTGTGCCTGATCCTAGCTGGGGGTTTGTTTTTCTGGGATATGAAAAATTTACGGGAATAGTGTTCTTTATTAACAGCGCTGTGGTACGGCTCTGGTGAGGTTTGGAGTATGCATTTCTTTGAACTGTGTAAGGACAAGGGTGGAAATATGGAATCTCTGCCGACTTCGGCTGCGCAACTGACTTTAATGGCAGTGGCACATCAGTCTGTGCGGGGGGAGTTGTGTCCTCATGGTCCTTAAAAACAGAAATGTATTTCTGAATGAAACCATGAAGGACAGGGTGCCTGAGTTGGGTGAAAATCATGGCAAAAGGATAAGATCTGCAGTTTGTTGCTTCTCTTTTTCCTTGCCTCCTGTTTTGCACTTGGAATTCTATTGTTCCTGGTGTTTTAAGCTTTTTTTGTGGTTGGTGAGTGTGGAAAGGTGTGGATTCTGCTATGCATATTGTCATCGATTTACAGTTTGCTTTTCTAAAGCTGTTCTAGTAACAGCTGGATTGCAACCTTGACCCTGAGAGAATAAAAACATGCAGCAGTGTTACAAAGGAGACTGGGATTCATTAGACTCCTTAACTCTCAGGCCCTGATTCTGCAGATATTTAAACACATACAGTTTCGCATGCCTGAGTTACCCACCGAGTTCTGTGTGATTACTGCTTAATATCAAAGCTGTTTACAGGATTGCCAAATCTGGTTGAAATTAGATTCTTTTTAGTTTTCAGTCTATAGTGAAAACTTTATTTGACCATTTGTATTTCTCAGGGTTCTTACTTAGGTAAAGCACTGTTGAAAAAGACTCTGGCATCCATCCTGTAAAAACCTAGACAGAGATTTGTCAGTGAGTCTGAAAATACTCCATAGTGTATTTGCAGTGTGTTAAGTATGGCGTAAATTACGTGCGAAGTCAAAATCTCTTAACGTGTAAGCAAAACTACAAGTTGCAGTTCTCCTGACTAACACTGAAAATATCTGTTTTGTGTATGTGTGAAGTAAAAAAGAATCCAGGACTTATCTCTTCTCCTTTCCCAAGTGTAAATGGTTGAAATAAATTTTATCCATTATTTGATAAGGGAATAGTTATCAGGTAAGTATTTATATCTCTAGATCCATGATATATATGATGTACCAGTCAAAAGGATTGTATTTTTTTCCTGGAAAGTTAGTCTTGGTCAATGAAATAGCTTTTTGCAGCCTTAGTGCAGTGTTCCAGACTGCTCAGTACACCTTTTAATGAAAGTCTGTGTGGTAGGTACCAAAACTCACTTTCTGGAAAGTTTATTTTGGCTGCTTGAAAATGACCCTCATTCACTCTTTTTGGAGGTGTGCTAGGACTAACATTCTGTTTCCTTTCATGTATAAATCGAGTCATTATAAAATCCACAGGGAAAACATAAATTCGTAGGGCTGAAATTAAATCATTGGCCTCACGCAGCAAGAACTGAAAATACAAAAGCTTTGTACCTTTCCAGACGCAGGACTCGGTCCTGCAAACCTGGGCACATGAATGGCTTCATCCATGTAAGTCATTAATGTAGAAATTGGTGGAACTTGTCATCGGAATTCTAATACTCGTGTGCTTGTGTTGTTGAAGAATGAGATCCCAGAGAGGGAATTTATAAAGTTTTAACTTACGCTACTCTAAAACAGCACGTGCATATGATCCTCAGTATTCTGCTTGTTTATAGATTTACTGACATCTGTGCTGTTAGTTGTTGAATTTGTTAAAAGAAATCTGGATATTTGTAATATTTTTCTGTCAGTGGTTAACATTGTTTAGGTGTTAAGAATACAGGACCGTGAACAGGAGTGTATTTTATGCAGTTGTAAGGAATGGTGTTCAAAGTACAGTCTCCCACTGAATTTATGATAAATGTATAGGAATGCTGGAGAAGAAGCTAATGGAAAGCGCAGGGACAGTTTTGAACAAATAGTTTATCAAGAAGATGATTTATAGAGTTGGAATTTAAGGCAGATTTGTCATTATGTAAAACTTTATGATGTGATTATTTAGTATCTATAGTTAATGCAGTGGCAGTGCTTCATAGCACACTAAGTGTATGCAGGATTTTATATTCTAAATCAAGGCAAAAATGACCTTTTTTTTTAAAGAGTAATTCCTAGTTGCAGTGGTGGTAGGTTATATTGGGATATTCTGTGCTCCAGCATGAGTTTATTTTGAGGACATGATAGTGACTTCATGCCCTAGTCTTTGAAATTCAGGCTTAAAGTTTGAAAGGTGTGGATTTGGAATGTCCATGTGTCTTCCTTATGTATAATGAAAAATGAAATTAAATTTCAACAGCCAAAGCCAAAATTGATTTATTAAAGCAGAGGTACAACTGGATTATTATTTGAGGTAGGACTGGTAAATTCCCTGAAACATCAAAAAGGGCTGGGGGGGAGAAAGGAAGCTCTAGCACTGAAAACTTGTCAGGACTACTTGGAATAACTGTTGAGTATTTTGGTTTGTATACAGTAGGTCTGCTTCTTCCCTCTGAGAAGACATTTTTGTGTTACTTTACTGAATAGTTCTAAAGCTGGTTTAGCTGTCTGCTGGGAATACGTGTATAACGAAGAACCTACATCGTGCTTCTTTGCACAATGCGATTCATAATTCACAGTTATCTTCAGGTTGCCTTTGGTAATAAAAGGCAAACCTGTGTGTTCAGCTGTATGCTTGCGTGTTGATAAAGTTGGACTTGTATTCTGAATATGAGTTTTAAACAAACAACAGTAAATTTTTTATGTTGGATTGCCCACTTCTTATTGTTCTATGTTGTTACTGTATATATATATACACACATATATAGGCCTGGGAAAAAACTACTGAACATGCAGTTTCTGGATATAATGATGTTAGTATCTTAACGTGTGTTGCTCTCATGATATCTCAAATCACTCAAAAGTGATTTTCATACTTGAGCTCAGGGCTTTCTTTGCATTCCCATATGGTGGCAAATCCACTTGAACCCCATGAGGCAGACTGACTAGGATAATAAGGAATGTGCTAGAATCTTTTATTTGCGATTTTTTTTTCTGTCTGTGGTCTAACTAGAATTTTTAAAATTAAAGCCATGATTTATACAACTTTGAGAGCTTGTCCCACTGATATGAAAGGGGAAGAAGAATCTCAGGTGAAGTACAGATATGTTTTCGTTTTGCTCAGCATCAAGTCTGATTGAGTGATAAATAAAATGAACGTTCTTTACTTTTTGTGCCAGAGCAGCCACGCTCAATTATTCTATGAGGTTTCTGCAGAGTAGGGCATTCACTTAGAGCCCCTCTTACTTTTGGCAGATGTCCTTTTGTTTGATCAAGTCTTGCATTTAGCAAAATTTAGATCTGATAAAACTGGAGATCTGTCCAAACCACATGGCAGGTTTCCAGTGTTTTTCATTCATAGATCTACTGTTTGCTTTTTCCTTCATGGTGCATTGTAACAGACTGTTGTATGTAGGTACGGTGAGTTTGACAAATGCTCTGTCTGTGCAAGTTCAATAGGAGGTGAATCTTAGGCTTGGTTTTAAGCAGTTCTTTTGAAAGTTTTATGCATTACGCAAACTAGAAATACTTCTAACTGATGAAGTGGAGATGTTAAGAACTACGGGACAAATAAACATGAATGAAAATATTTCTTCCACCTGTGATGAGCAGGAATTGGACATTAAAGTGGTAAGTGTAGGATGGCTGTATACGAGGTATGCTGACTTCCAGATGTTTGCTCCCTGAGGACTTGCAATGTAAGGCACCAGAATTAATGCCAGTTCAGTATTTGTAACAGGTACCTGTAGCTATGACAGATAGAAGCAAACTTGAAATACAGTGTGTAAGAAAACTAATGCAGTATTGCACTGGTTGAAATTTTGTAGGTGGTGACAGTGGATTGGATGGGTTAGGAGGACCAGGAGTACAGCTTGGAAGCCCTGACAAGAAAAAGCGCAAAGCCAATACACAGGTAATTCCCTTTAGTTCTTTTTATTTCTTAATAAATAGTGCACTCGGATGTTGTTTGCTGGTATGACTGTCTCGCATTGTTCAGAATATCAGTCTACCCTCACAAATAGCAGTTATGTACGAAATATTTCAGTTGTACTGTGAAGTTGAATTGTCATAATACTAGTTATTCTCATGGAAGTTATTTTAATCTCTGTAGGTTGCCAAAGATCTATAAAGAGAGGAGCACAGTGAGGCTGCAACAACTTGTATGTTACCATACGGATTTGATTCTGAGACAGACTTTCTTTTAGTGACTTTGTAGCCATTGGTAGGAATGTGTACAGCATGAGTAGTTGCCATGAGACTGCTTTTCTTCTTCCTTTTATTCCTATATGTGTAGGTTTGTGGCTTAATGAATCAGTACAGTTTGTTAATGCTTTGACCAAACTCTTGGCATATTCCCCAAGTGATTTTGAAGCAAAAGCTGTAAGGCAGGTTCGGCTCCTTTCCAGTGAAACCCTGCAATTTGGCATTTCTATACAGTTTCTGTTTCCAGAAAAGGAAGCCTGAATACAAAACAGCTAAAGCAATTAGATATCTATAGTGCAGAATTTTGCTTTGTGTGATCATTCAGCTTTGAGTGAGAGGATCTGTTAATTTGGTACTGCCTAGTGAGAGTAATTTTATTTATGTAGGTCAGACAATCACTTGCTGCTAGGCCTATCCAGATTCCATGGAGATGTGGATCTGTTTTCTTAATTTTTGTTTTGTTTTAAAGTAGTCATGGTGAAACCTGCTCTGAGAAATATTCAGTTAATTTAAGGGCTTCAGACCTCTTTTTTGGCAGAGCTTTCCTCGTATTCTGGAATGATGATAACTGTAGAGGGCTTGCAGATGAATTTCCTCTCTTTCCTGACCAGGTTCAAAATTTGCAGCATAGCAGAATTTTTTGGGGGAGAAAGAATTGTTCAGTCTTAGTTTATTACTGTTTAGGAGGATATGCTTTCTGTGAGCACAGTTAACGTGAGGGTGAACCAGCTAGATGCTCCCCACAGGCTAGTCTAGAATGAAATTCAATTGTATAGCCACTCCGATGACATTTAAACAGCCTCTGGGCTCCATTAAACACTTGATTATGCTCTGTAACCAGAATTCCTTGTATTTTATACCTACTGACCATGCTGTGCAGACTGTCCACAATCACTGAATGCTCATAAGGGACAGCTCTGTTTGGTACACAAAATATAGAAAGTTGCTATTTGCAGATTCCTATATTCTACAGGTCTTTTCTAGGGCTATAGTAACATTAGGTTTGTATATCCTTATAGAAGTGGGGTGTCCTAAGAGATGTATATTCAGTAAAACGAACTCAAAGTGAAACTAAGAAAATGCTTCAACTCTGCTCTTCAACATTTGGAAATATTTTGTGCATGTGTCTAAGCAATACATGACCTTCTGTAGTATTACTTTTCTTATGTAAAAGATTAAGAAATAGAAGTCATACATCAAGTAGTGTTTTCAGAAGCATGGTTGTGCAACTGCACAATTTTTAAAACAATGAGATTACTATAAATCACCATGTTATCTGGAGCCCAAATGCCTCTCTTGCCTCTGTGCTGAAATTTCAGACAGCCTGGCAGGGTACAGTGGGCGAGCTTTACGCAACAGCTGAACAGTTCTTTTAGCAGTAGTGCTGATAATCCAGGACCTTTGTGGTTGGTCTGTCTTGCAGGGAAATACTAAAACTAATTTAAATATTGTATTTAAAATATTTTTAGGGGTCATCATTTCCTCCTCCATCTGAATATGCTCCACCGCCGAATCCAAGCTCTGACCACCTTGTAGCTGCAAATCCATTTGATGACAACTATAACACTGTGTCTTATAAACCACTTCCTTCAGGAAATCCGTATTTTAGTAATCCTGGTTATCCTGGCTTTGGAGGCTATAACACTTTCAGAATGCCACCTCACATGCTGCCCAGAGTATCCTCACCATATGGTGGTTCTTACTCCCTCAGAAACCAACCACATCCCCTTCCTCAAAACCCTGTGGGAATGGGTTTTAGTCGACCCCACTCCTTCGGCTTTGGTCCACATGATAACCCAGGTTTTGGGAATCAACCACCTTATAGCAGTGGTCAGATAAATCAAAATGTCAATATGCCTGGTCAGCATTTTAGACCAAATCCTAGTGAGAACTTTGGCCATTCTGGTCAGATACCTCACCCTGACGTGCCATCTAGCTTTGGTCCTGGAAACAATCCAAATTTCCCAAATTCTCAGCTAGAGTCAAACCATTCTTTTGTTTCTCCACCAAACACGTACAACCAGACTAAATCGTCAGCACAAAAACAAGACTTTAGTCAAGGTGCAAGCAAAGCATCCAGCCAGAACACTGCTGCTCATCAGCATCATCACAGAACAGAGGACATTGTGAGTCAAGGTAACAGTGACCTAAAAAGTGTTACTCGAACCAGTGTGGCAAATCAGGATAATAGCCATTCTAATAGTGCTGATAACACTAACACTGGTCATTCAAATGGGACTCAGAGTAAGTCCCGCCAGCCTCGAGGCACTGCTGAAGGATGCAACGCTGAAAAGAGCAGCAAAACACCCCTTCATCCCAGTCGTCATGGTCACTCATCCTCTGAACCTGTGTATCCATGTGGAATTTGTACACATGAGGTTAATGATGACCAGGATGCCATCTTGTGTGAAGCCTCTTGTCAAAAATGGTTTCATCGGATCTGTACAGGCATGACTGAGTCAGCTTACGGCCTTCTTACCGCAGAAGCATCAGCAGTGTGGGGCTGTGATACCTGTATGGCTGACAAAGATGTCCAGTTAATGCGTACAAGAGAGACTGCAGGACCGCCTGCATTGAATACGGATGGCTAACAACGGGAATTGGTGGTCGTGGTTGAAATACTTGCTATGAGGATTTGGTTACAAATTGGGTACTTCACTTTCTGCAGACAATCAGTTGTGTTTGGTTGCTGTCATCTTTTTTCTCCTAATCTGTTTTCATTCATAAACTTCCGTCTTGGCTTTTGTACTCTTAGTTTTATGTGCGCAAATGTTTTACAGGATGGAATGTTTTTTGTTTGTGATTAAGCTGTAAAACATAACTGTCAACTGATCAGAAGTAGGATGTGCATTGACAATTTTATTGAAGGCAAAAATGTGCCTGTATGAATAGCCCCTAATTTGCTAGTGTTGACATGTTAACTAACACTAGCATTTAGTGCTCGGTTTTAATGGTGCTATATTTGCAAGTACTCTTTTTTTTTTTTTTTTTTTTTTTTTTTGGGTGAATGTCCATTGCTGATGTTATCCTTTCTTTCAATATAGTGGAGATGACATGGAGGAATGTGCAGTACTAGTAGTTTTTATTTTAGGGCAAATGGAGAGGATTTCATATGTGCTTTTTCCTATTTTTGAAGTAAGGCGTTAACATACTGTTCAAAAATCAATGACTTAATTCTTAGTAACACAGTGAAGCATTCTAACTCTTACTCTTTCTGCCTGAAAAGGAAATAATCTCTTTTAACTTCTCATTAAATACTTGCTCGCTGAGGACTTTTGCTAGGTCTTGCAGTATGTAGAAATAGCTACAAAATATTATTAATTGGAAAAAGAACATACCAGGTTTATGAAGTCCAGTGCTTTAAATCTAGAAAATACCAAAACTAGGGTTGGATATGTAACCTTAATTCATGTATCCTAAGCACATACATTAGGATACAGTCTCTGCATCTGCCACGGTTGTGCAATCATGCACCTCTCTCTCATCCTTTCTCATCGGTGGTTCTGGTCTCTCGCCTCAGTGCTGCCTGAGAATGGTCAATGAACTGGGGCAGGGAAAGCCTTGCCCATCTTCTAGGACTTTCAACTAGAGCCTGCTCAGTTGTCCTGAGCTTACACAGTCCCCTTGGCATGAAGGAGGGTCCCAGGCAATGGAGTGTGCTCAGCACAGGCTCTGAACAGCAAGATAATTTGACCAGCAAAGTCTGAAAACTGAATTCCCACCACTGCCTCAGCCAGTCCTGCAGCAAGAGTGTGGGAAACCCAGGGTGAAGAAAAATACAGCTTTCACATCAGGTGAGGTTAGCTCACATCAGGAGCGAGTAATCAGCAGTTTAGTTTCTTTGCCAAACTTGGTATCCTACTGACAAGTATGAATGGCACTAGAGTTTCATGTGTGATGCTAAAAATTCTATTTTAATATGAGTAATTTCATCTTATTCTTGATCTCAAAAATAATCCCTCCCCTTCTTTTTTTTAATGTGGGGAAACATCTAGCCTTGAAGATTTCAGCCTTAGCACTGTGATAAAGTTGCAAATGCAACTGAAAGCGAGTGTTTCTGTAGAGAGGAGTGTTGTTTTAACTTAATAAAAAGTGGCACTACAGTAACTGCTTGTAGTACTCGCCACTGTGCTGGAAGCTCCTGTTTTTTAAATAATTGGCAATTAAATCATATGTCAAGCATTACGTGTACTAGTCACATTCCTTAATCTGATAAAGTGGTCAGGGCTGTGGTGATGAGTGATGTAGGAGCTTATCCAGAATACAGTCATCTATATAAAGATGTAGTTTTTATGGTAAGCCCTGCTCAGGAGTGGAAAGTAAGGTCTGTTTGCTGGTTCGCCGTTGTGCTTGATTTTAAGTGGGCTCTACTGTGGTACTTTCCTGGAAGATACCGTGCAGGTCTGCATGATTGTCCTTGTTTTATTTTGAAAGTGATAAGCTTTATGTACTCTTTCACTGGAGAAGTGCAGTATTGCCTTCCTTTTGTTGTCTTGCCTCTCATCGGGAAAAAGGAAATAATGTCTGAAGTGTGAATGACACCATTCATATCTTGAGGATTTCCTGTATGGAGATGTAAAGAAACTGTAAGGCAGATCCAGGGCTTCTGTTTTCATCACTATTTGCTTCATTTAGTACAGAGACTAAACTTAATCGTGTTTTGTTAGAAGTGTGATATTTAAAAACAAACAACAAAAAAACCAACCAAACAACAACCTGTGTTAGAGAGCTGTATTCTTCAGTAATTTCCCTGATGACTGACCGACTGTTAGAATTTGCTTTTGGTATCTAAAGTAGAAATTAAACCAAACCTTGTTTAGATCGATTTGTTCCTCTGGGGATCAGTTTAATCTCTGCAACAATTTGCACTGTGAAAGTGGAGCTGGTTCAGACTTACAGCAATGTAAATGAAATAAAAAAATTTTGCTCAGTGAAAATTCAACAAAAGCTCCAATGATGATACTGTTACCCAAGTGTGCTGTTCACAATTCCTTTCCCACTCCCACACCCCATTCCTGTTGTGAGAAGATGTTTGCAGCATTTGTTATCAAAAGTCCAGTTAATGTTTTAATATATTGGAGCAGACATTGTATTTAAAATAGCCATATATTTCTTAATCTCTTCCTCAACCCTACATGAAGTTAGGCAAGTGTCTTCTATATTATCTAGCAAGACATTAGAATTTCAATATAGTGTTATTAAAACCTAAAATCAATGGAGTATCATTTTATAAGGCCTTAAATTGTGTATTTGTGAAACTTATTCTAACAATTTATTTCAGTTTTTCTAAACTGGTACTATGTTGGGTTTGTAACCCAGTAAATTTTCACTGTTTATTAACCTACAAATTCAAGGCATTAGGAAATGCCAATTATAAAGTATCAAATAAAAACAAATGAACTTGTCCTACTGATCCGCTCTTGGCATTCATGGACTCTGAGAGAGGGTTATACTTTTGTTTTTCTCTGCATGTATTGACTAGTAGTAGTTCAAGTATGCACAGGAAAAACAACAGTCATGTTTTGTTAGTAAGGTACTAGGAAAATGTCAGCTGGTTAGAATTAGAGATTAGTTATAGAAGGGTGGGTGGGAGGGGAGGGCTGATTAGAATAGCTGAGGGTTTTGTAATACTCTACATGAAACAATTTGTATTGAACTATCGTGTGCTTCTTTCATTACTAGTGATTTAGACCGTACTGGCGCAGCACACCAAAAATATTGCAAAGATTTTGTAAATCTTACAAACCTTAACATTTCAGTGGGAGATGCCTGTGTCCTTTCTAAATAGCTCCTTGTCGTGGTCAGAAACGCAGCCTGTATTGCCCAAAACGTTCTCCACTCCTCCGGCTGAAATAAATAGGTGTAAACTGGATTGAACTGTCCTTAATACTTGGGTTTTTTGCCAGTTTTAAATGAGAAAAATATGTAATTTGCTCTTTAAAATACTTGTTTTATTGATGTCAGGGTAAGTGACAGTGCTGCATATAGGCTAGAGGGCAAGTATCAAAAATCCTGTTTTTAGCTGTTTTACTGATCCCTTCAACTTGGGAGAAGCAGGTTAGCTGTGCCTCAGTCTCTGCTTTCAGAAGGTCAGACTGACGCTTACTTCCTGAGGGTGTTTAGAGACCTAAATTATTATTTGAGATCATCAGTCCAAAGGAACAAGAGAAAAGTAATAAAGTTTGCACTATTTAAAACAAAAATATTAATTTGGGGGCTGCTCAAAGAAGAACATACCTTGTGACCTCTAAAGTTTTCATCTAAGAGCCAGTTTTGTAATCACATTTTTCAGGCTTAACTTCAAGCATGTGAGAGTTCAATGAAGTCAGTGGAACTGCGTGCACGCTGTCAAGAACGTTTGAAAGTGTTTGCAGTTTGGGGCTATGGTATTTGCAAGTGAAATGGTTTTTATGGTTTGAGATTTTTACAAAATCAATGGTGTTCAAATGTAGCACCTTTTTAACATTTGTCTCTCTTCCAATTTAATATGTTAATACATCTGCATTAAATATATCCCTTTCGGTTTATAACTAAGCATTGCCTGGCAGTAAAAGTATTGGTGTAACATTTTTAAAAAAGGAAGTCATGCTTCTTCTCATGTTGTATGTGACTTAAACGACTGTTTCATATTAAAACTAATCTTTCCTTATGTACTGCTTAAATATACCTGTTCTGGGATATCAGTTCAGTACTTTTTATACAATCTTGAATGTGTTCCACATTGGTGACATGTATTTTTGCAACAACTTTTTTGTTTCAATTTTAAATTAGAGCATGTCTGAAGTAATACATGCATTAGTGCTGTGGTGTGTGGCAAAGTTAATGTATGTAATTCAAATTGGAAAAAAGTTTCCAGGCTTTGTCCAACATTAACCCTGTGGCCAGGGATTAAATTACTATGTAATACAAATTATTCCTATCACGATGTGTTTTAAGCTACTCTATGAAGTATGTGAAACATTATTGTTTATGGGTTGGTAGCTGATGTGGTATCTTGCACAGAAGGAGGTATGACACATGGTAGCAATTCATGGTAATTAAAATTGACCTTTCAGAACACGCAGCGCTTATGTGCATTGTCATCTTGTTGCCATAACTGTTAGTATGAATTTCTTAATACTATCCACTGACAAATGGGTGAACATTTGGTAATAAGCTCATGGGTGTGAAAGCGTTGCTCTAACACTTTCTTGGTTTACAAAACATGTACTTTTTTATCTATTGGATGTAATTAGATATATGCAGGAGGATGTAGAACTGGATGTATTTTAAAGGTACTCAGCAATTACTAAGTTTTGTGTGAAGCTTGCTATATCAGAATAGACTCTTCCTTAAAATTGGAAAATTAAGTGTACTTAGCAGAACTCTTAAGGCAATAGAACTGTCCTATACTATGAGTTACGCACATTCACTTCTTTGTATGGAACTCCTCTGATTTCTTGTTGGCTGATGCTTTATATGGAAATAAAGGGTCACTTTAGTGCCCTAGTGTTGTGTGTCATCAGTTCTGAGGTAATTTAATTCTGAATGGTGTTCAGCCCCTTAGAGGTGCTACCTCTAGCTTAAACTATGTGATGTCACGCTTAGTTCCCTGGTTCAGAAATGGCTTATCCCAGCGTCGTAGGGAATATCTATCTTTGTCTTGTTTGTCATACATGATTAATTTTTGTTTTCATGTTCAAACAAACTGTCTCAAAGTAATTTTTTTATCCAACCTCACCTTTTTACTTGGAGGTTTTTGCACTGTAATTCAGGAATTGCTGTACTGGAGGCAGTTTGGGATTGGAGTCATGAGCAATGTTGTGTCTATTCCCAGACACTCCCCTCATCTTCTAAAGGGTGGTCTAAATCTGAACTTCGGTGTATTCCATATGCCCTGAAGGAGGGCAAGCTTTTAATATATTTCTTTTTTCCTTTTTTTTTTTTTTTTTGCTTTCTTTATATTTTTCTCTGAAATGTGAAATAATACGGAGTTGTTGAGGGTTTTTTACTTAAAAGTTAGTCTCTCCTCCAAGCTTTTGTATATGGCCTTTAGAGCAGACACTGTGTTCTTTAGGGCCTTCTGACTTGGAATTTTTTTCTCCACATTCTTATTTCAGTGTTAAAGAT